GAAGACAGTAACAGAAGGTCAGGAAATCACCTGAGAGCTATTATGTCATTTCTTGGGAATATGTATCCAAGCATCATTTGTGGCCTCCTTTCTGAAATGCATAAATAGGGGTGCATTTAATCTGCAGGAGTGCGTCTCCCATTATTCTTTTAGTGGAGATCTTTGCATTAAGTACTTTCTAATAAATCACTGCAGTGAGTCTGGTGTCAGGTTAGGTGCCACTGCAGGAGCCTCAAGCAAAGTTTCCAGAAAAATCCAGCTGTTTATTAGGAGATGGCCTTGACTTTGGCCGGCTAGGAGGTGCTTTGTTTTGACTTGAGGTGTAAATTCCTCGATGCAGCTGCATTGCTCGATTCCCCATCCCACTGCCTACGGCAACTCAGGAGCAGGTCAGGAAATCTTCGTGAGTTGACATTTGGGTTGTTTGCTTTGGGTCCTTCATCCTAATTCCATGTATGGCACAGGCCAAACTCCATTTTGTGTATGGAGGTCATGGAGGTGAAACACTCAACTTCACCTTGACTCCAAAATCTGTACAAACTGTGGATTCACAACAAGAGACACAAAGATGTTTTTTCCCCTTCTGGTGTGCAAACCAAATCCAGTGCTAAGTGGATAGGACAGTTGCTTTCCCTTGCAATTATCATAAGAAAGTGTAATTCTGAGTGTATTCCCTTGTGGGAATTACCCACAAAATACTTCCAAGAGAAAATCTGTGTTAAAAAATATGCTCTGGCTATTCCAAGGGGAGGGGAAAGGACATGTCAGCCTATGTGGAAATTGGGATCGTAGAAACACCCAGGAGCATAGAAGAGTCCAAAGGCAGATGCATGAATAAATGTGATAAATATATTTATTTATATAACAAAACATATTAACTATATACAAAGGCTGTCTTAATATCCATTAGGATGGGGGGCACACAGCGTGTGTGACCACCCCTATCAAAGATCATGTCTCATGGAGAACAAACGTAAAAGAGAGCATGGTGGAAAGGTTAGAGGGGGTTTTATACTCAGTGTAAGCCCCTCCTCTCCACATAGGGGTGGGGGCACTTTCTGCCTCCACTAGTGTCTGTATGATATATGTGCCAATGGCTTGCAAATACTTGACAGCCTACCATATCTTGCAAAGGACTAGCTACTTTTTTTGGCGAGACTCAGCTGCCCTCAGTTTTCTCTTTGGTTAGAGTCCGAGCACAGGTAGGAAAAAGCATGGCATGTAGCATGAAGGGGTGCCAGGCAGGAGAGAGGAAGAGAGTTCCAGAGGGCCGCCAGGTCTGCTGCTTTGAATGTGACCCTTGTCCAGAAGGGACTATTTCTAATCAGACAGGTAGGACATTCAAATGTTCATATTCCAGCCATTCAGTGGGAAAACATTAATTTTAGCATCATTTTTGGTAGAATTTACATGCTTCAATATATTCATACTTTTCAGCAGATTCTCTTATTCATGAATGTAAACTACTATCTAAACTACTATAGTTTGAGGGCACAATTGATAAATTCTCTACTGGAAGAGAATTTTTACATCCCATCAGGAAAAACAGCTCTCAATCTTTTTGTGAAAGAATGGGATGTGAGATTCAAGCTTTAATTTTTATTAAGGATAGTTCTTGTTTTAGAACTATCAATCTCCCAGGATACTCAAAGACTTGCTAGAGAAACAGGAGATCCATTGATCTGTGTCTGCTGATCCTTCCCTACAATAAAAAAGATTGAATGACTGGATTTGAAGAATAAAGCAGAGAAGTTGAGCCAGAGAACAGATCTAGTTTTCTGACTAACCTATTCCCAGCATTGTCAATATGGATGGATGATTTGCCTTTGTTGATTCATCGTGAAATGCACACTGACTCTAGATTTCAGATGCAGCTCACTGTGACCCCTGCCCAGAAGATCAATACGCCAACAAGGACAAGGACCATTGCATGTAATGAAGGCTCAGCTTCCATGTTTTACACTGTTCTCACCTACTTGGCTTTCCTGGCCCTCTTGAGTTTCACGGTGGCCTTTCTGGCTAGGAAATTGCCTGATAGTTTTAATGAAGCCAAGTTCATTACTTTTAGCATGCTGGTCTTTTGCAGTGTTTGGATCTCCTTTCTCCCCACCTACCTGAGCACCAAAGGGAAGTCCATGGTGGCCGTGGAGATCTTCTCCATCTTGGCCTCTGCGGCTGGTCTCTTGGCTTGTATCTTTTTCCCCAAATGTTATATTATCCTATTCAGACCTAATCTGAATTGTAGAGAGAATATAACAAGGCACAGTCCCTGATTAATGTAGTTATTTGGAACTTTTATTTTGATTTTGGGCCCTTTTTAAATATGATGTGATTTCCTAAAAATGATGGCATGGGAGAGGGCTTGTCCATTAAATGATTGGAAATCATGGAAAATATTTTATAATCAGCAATAATCATCTGTAGTTTTATGTTTCATTAATGCCAGTGAGAGTCCAGTGATCAACTTGGAAGTAGCCATTGATATTAAAGATGTGGCTATTAGTTTCTAGCAGGGACTGGGAGGCCTTTTTCATGGTCACTCATGCCTGTTGACCTCCTGTTTGGATTCATATTTTATAAATTTTAATCAAAAGAGTCTTTAAAACCTGAGAGTGAAGTTCTCGTTCAGTGTTTTTAAGCACATTTGTTTTGATAGACTCGTTAACTTGCTGAGTTCCCTATGAAATCCCTTCATGTCCTGGTGGCGCGGCATACTAAAGCACTGTTATTAACAGTGTTATTAACACCAGCTGCCTGCAATTACTGGGAGTTCAAATCTCACCAGGCTCAAGGTTGACTCAGCCTTCCATCCTTTCTAAGGTAGGTAAAATGAGGACCCAGATTGTGGGGGCAATAAGCTGACTTTGTATAAATATACAAAAGTATGAAGGCTATTGCTTAACGCATTGTAAGCCACCCTGAGTCTCCGTAGAAGGGCGGCATATAAATCAAAATTTAAAAAATTTTTTAAAAATGTAATTGGTTTAAAGAATAGTTTTTTCCCTCTAATTCTGGAGTTAAATAAATATAAGCTATATAGTAAATAGTAAATAGCAATAATAATCAAGTGCCTAGAAATAACAGGAGTCAGCAGAAATGCCAGAAATAATGCACAAAGATTGGTGGAACAATGGAAGACACAGTTGAAGGTCAATGGTGAGAGACTGGGAGAGGTTGATATCAAGAGAATATCAAGAGAAGTTTCAATTGAAACTTCTTGTTGTTAGTCGCGGTCATGTCCGACCCATCGCAACCCCATGGCGATTTCCATTGTGAAATATCCTGTCTTGAATGAGTTTTCTGCCTGCTTGTAAATGGAGCCAAACTTCCGGCTTCTACTCTCTATTATCTCTAAGCACTGGTAGCTGTTTTCTTCTTACAAAGTTTCCTTTATGCAGCTGGCAGGAATGTGGAATGAGTATCAGGCAGGCTCCTTCTTAGCAGCTTGATTTTTCCTTGCTTTTCTTATGAGCAATATTTTATTTGGGGAAATGAAGAGGGATGAGTTTGATTCCTTCCCAGAGCAGGTTAGTGTTGTGGGGAGGGAATGGGGATTTTGCAGTAACCTTCCCCTGTCACACCACATCCACCAAGCCACACCCACAGAACCAGTAGTAAAAAATTTTGAAATCCACCACTGCATAAGTCCATCTAAATATGCTATTCCTGGTATGTGATGTTTTGTATACATACAGAAAAAGAAGCACTCTTGTGATCTTTGACTTTTAGGCTGGCTATTATTTATTTATTTATTATTCGAATTTCTATACCGCCCTTCTCCTTTCGGACTCAGGGCGGTGAACAGCCAAAATAAAAACATTTATACATAAATACGATTAAAAATATCAAACATCAGCCATCATACTAATGATTGTTTTGAACAATAGGCAAGTTGTATTACACAAATGGCTATTTTATATGTGAAATTATGACTGAAATATTTCTGCACCTATATTGGTTCTCACTGTCAGGAAGTTTCTCCTTAGTTTTAGGTTGCTTCTCTCTTTGTTCATTTTCCATCCATTGCTTCTTGTTTTCCCTTCTGGTGCTTTGGAAAATACATTGCCCTCCCTTCTTTCTGGCAGCCCCATAAAGCCTGTTGCCTATCACACTCTTGGGCAAAGCATGTGAGCCTTTTCCTCCTTTCAGTAGTCCATGAAAGTGCATCTATATTATGTAGATAATAAAGTTGAAAAAAGGTGAACAACATTTCTACAGAACTATAGATAAGTTGAGGTTGGGTGTGACAAGGAATGGCTGGGAGGGGAGGGGCCAGGCGAGGCACCGCTTGATGTGAGTGACATTGAGTTGGCCACGCCTACCCAGTCACATGACCATCAAGCCCACAAAATAAGCCACGCTCACAGAACCGGTAGTAAAAAAAATTATAACCCACCCCTGCATCAAACCCAGACTGGCACCTCAATCTATAGTGATGGTAGCCTTTCCCAGCAATCTCTGGAGACAAGATGCCAAGTTGAAGGACATCAGAAGTCAATTTCTTTCATCCACATCATTTTCTGGGCATGTCTGGACAGGAACGACCACATCTACTACAGAATAATGTCCCTAGGTGTGGAGCTGTGATTCTGAGGCTTTTCTCCAGACATCCCTCCTCACATGGAGCCCTGGTAGAACTTCATGGTTCCCAGAGGAGAAGTTGCTTCACAGTGTAATTATCGCCATCCTATTCTCTGTGACTTCTTCTGTCACTTCTCCAGCGACTGCCTAGATGTAAACATCAGACTGAAGCAGCATGGAAGGGATCTTGCATCAGAAAAGGATAAATGCTTCAGGTCAGGCTCTTTGGTGTCACACATTTTGAGACAGGTAGGAGCTCTGCTCTTGAATGTACTTTCTCTCCTTTCCAGATGGAGCTCGGCTTGTCTCTGTCTGAATCAGGAGAACTGCTGGCATTTCCATCTTGTGGGAAGCCTGGAATTCTTCTGTATCTTCTTGGTGTCCTTGTTTAGAAAGGGATTGATTCAGCCCAAGGAATGATGGACCTCCTGATTCTGCTCCTGATGCTCCTGATGCTGCCGTTGTTCCAGCCAGTCTCTGGAAAGCTTAGGAGGAAGTGCCCGATGAATTTGGAGCACCGGGATGGAAAAAATCCACCAAGCTATTACAGGCCAGGAGACCATCTCATTAGCATAGTCACCACAGCAACATTAAGCTCAAATATAACGTTGCCTTTCAACATGGCTCCTTCTAGTCAGTTTCACTCGTAAGTCATTCAGGATGATGGATTTGCACTCCTTCCATTTTCAGATGTAATATTCTCCTTTTTTTCCTCCTTATTTCACTTACTCCTATATGGAAGGACCCACCTAATTTCCTGGAAGAGACTCAAATCCAGAGATGGAGAAACAGCTAAAAGAACTCCAGATTATTTCTTCCTCCCCATCCAGCCCTGAGTTCATCTGTTTAAAAACTGACTTTTGTTTAAAGTAACTATTGAAAAGGTTGCAATTTCCTATGTCAAGCCCATCCCTGGAAGCTTTCAAGAAGAGACTGAACTGCCATCTGTTAGAAATGGTGTAGGATCTGCTGGGGGGCGGGGGTTGGACTAGATGACCTACAAGGTCCCTTCCAACTCTCTTAATCTGTATCTGTATCTATCTATAAATGCTCATTGAATGGTTTAATTTTTGCCTCTAGTTTTGGATCAGTATTGGCTTAAAATTCAATAGGGTTGTGTGACAAAGAGAAAATACATTAAACAATATCCTGTTATTGCTTTCGATGGTGGTGTTGATAATATGAATATTTTTCCACAGGTGGGCACCTTCAGGTAGGTTATCTCCTGATAAGTTTAGAATTGTCCGATTCATTTTTGCCATTCACGTGGCTAACAAGAACCCACAGCTCCTGCACAATCTCACACTTGGCTACAACATCCATGACAACTCGCTGAGCTCACTTGCCACTTCAGATGCTTTGCTGGACATGCTCTCTACTGGAGAAGCCAACGTCCCCAACTACAGCTGTGGGAAGAAGGACGGTCTTTTGACTCTTCTCGATGCAGCAAGAAGGGACATCTCCATCCAGATGTCAACTTTAGGAGGCACCTACAAAGTCCCACAGGTTTGTGTGTGTGTGTGTGTGTTTGTGTATCTGGTAAAGTGAGAGCAGAGTTGGTGGGTGATCAATATCCCCACTTGCATCTTCTCCATGGAATTCAGGAGCTGTTTTTCACCATAGCCATTTGAGGTCTCATGGCTGGTGATTGGGATCCATATTGAGAAGGAGGCAACCATCAAAGCAGCCGTATCTTCTCATGACATCATTTTCTTTTTATTATTATTATTATTAAAAAACAAACTTTATTAAACATAAAAAGATAAAATACCATATCGAGTATATACAGAATATATTTATATTAATCTGAACATCATTACTTACTCTCAACAAAAATAGAAAAAGAAAACAAAACGAAACGAAAAAGAAAGAGAAAAAAAATATAGAAACTGATTTTGTCACTTTATCACATCCTTTATCTTGTTGAGGGTGCCTGTTTGTTAATTTTAATGTCTTACAGAATTTTACATTTACTCTCCTTTTTTTTTAATTATCCAATCGTACCATCTATTCCACACTGTGTAGTATTTTGAGTCTATCTTGTCTTTTAACTCAAATGTTAATTTTTCCATTTCCACACAATTGTAAATTTTTTGGATTATTAGTTGATCAGTTGGCAATTGATCCGTCTTCCAATATTGAGCTAATGCTAATCTGGCTGCCGTAATTATATGTAATATTAAATATTTTGTTTCTTTCCTATGGTTTTCTTTGATCATGCCTAATAGAAAAATTTCTGGTTTAAATTCTATTTCCTCTGCTGTTATTTCTGTTAGCCAAGTTTTTATTTTTTCCCAGTATTTCCTAATTTTTGGGCAAAGCCACCAGACATGAAAGAAAGTGCCCTGTGCCTGTTTGCTTTTCCAGCAAGTTGGGTTTAAATTCAGATACATCTTCGCTAATCTCGAAGGGTCCAGATACCATCTATACCACATTTTATACTGATTCTCTTTATAAACTGCTGATTTTGTCATGATTTCATGGCTTGGGTGGATTCTGCTGGACACTTGTAGCAAATAGGACCAAAGCTTGGACTGCACATTATAAAAACAACCTATTGTGATCCTTATATTAAAACAACTCATTTCCTATGCTATGAGAATTCAAAAATTATATATAATACGGCACTTTAGTGGAACAAAAGAGTTCACCTAAAATCTGTATATCTGCGTCTGATTGTGGGAAATTATAAGGGTGATACAGAAGTATTATTTTCATTCTTTATTTGTGTTCTTGTTTCCTTAATTTTTTTTATTCTATGTTTATATATTGTGTTCTTAATGTTCTGTGTTTTATATTCTGTATCTTTGTAGACCTCATGACTAATCAACAATGAACTATTCTAACAAGTTCAAGAGAATGAAGTTGGATGTATTAAAAGCTAATGTTTTGGACTTGATCCGAACCCAAATATAAGCATTCTTCGTTGTCTTTTCAGATCAGTTATCAAACTGCTTCAGAGACTCTGAGTGATAAAAGTCAATTCCCTTTTTACCACCGGATGCTCCCTAAAGATGGGATCCAGTACCCAGCAATTGCCCATCTGCTTCTCCATTTCAGATGGACCTTGATTGGCCTCTTTGCTTCAGACACAGAGAAGGGAGAGAATTTCATGAGGATTTTGACTCCTATGCTTGTCAGGAATGGAATTTGTGTTGTTATATCACAACGAATCTCAATGACTAGACATCCGGCACCCTTCAGAGAGGCCCTCTCTAAGTGGAGACAAGTCAATGTCTTTGTTCACTTCTTAGAATATGTTTCCATTTCAGACAGAATCCTTCCTTTCCATTTAACTCTTGAAGGTTTGCCAGGACCCATTGAAGGGAAAGTCTGGATCACCACAAATTTGGGAACATATTCATTGAAAAAACACGGACGTCTCAAACATGTCCATAGTATTTGGTTTTTTTATATTCAGAGGAAACAATGGCCAAAAGAGGATGCATTTGAACCCTACTTCTTTCTAGATGTCCAGTATGAAGATCAGTATTTTCGCTGTTCTTTTTCAAACCGTGTCTCTTCTGTCAATGGTCGGAGAAGATGCACCCAGAAAGCATCAATGGAGACCCAACAGGGAAGGAACACTTTACGGATCAAAAATAACGAATATGTTTACAGTATCGTTAAGAGTCTGGCGCATGTCTTGAATGTTGCATATTCCTCCAGATACAGAAGGAGAAGGAAGGAGGGCGAAGAGAGTTTGGGAGCTCCAAGGCTGCAACCATGGCAGGTATGGGACCCTGCCAAGTGTCCATTAATTAGATTAGATTAACTGAGTTGGAAGAGCCTTGTAGGTCATCTAGTCCAACCCCCTGCCCAAGCAGGAGTTCGTGCTCCATTTCTGACAAATGTCAGTCCAATCTCCCCTTGAAAGCCTCCAGTGTTGAAGCTCCCACTATTTCTGAAGGCAACTTCTATTCCATCAGTTGATTGTTCTCCTTAGTTCCAGGTTGAATCTCTCCTTGTTCAGTTTCCATCCATTATTCCTTGTCTGGCCTTCAGTTGCCTTGGAAAATAGCTTGACCTCCTCCTCTCTGTGGCAGCCCCTCAAATATTGGAAGATGTTATCATGTCTCCCCTGGTCCTTCTCCTCACTAGACCAGTCATTCTTCATATGTTCTAACCTCCAGTCCCCTAATCTCAGTTCTGTTTGAGAAGAAGTCCAATGGAGAAGAACAAGAACCACCTCAACCTAATTATGCTATAAAAGTCCAACACTTTTGGACAATCTATTTGACCAGGAGTTAATATTCCAAAGAAGCTACACCATGGTAGATAAATATTAATATTTATTAATATTTGGTATTAAATAATTTGCTAATTTGAAAAGGATGCATGCAGTTTTAAATAAATCCCTGTAGGTATATGGTTTGTGATTAGCATCATAGAATTTTACCTTTATATATTTAATGGAGACCTTGAGGCCATCTAGCCTAACCATTCCTTTCTGCATGAATCCCAGCCGAAATTTCTTTATTTTTTATTTTTTATTTCATTCAATTTATATACCGCCCTACTCCCGAAGGACTCAGGGCAGTGAACAGCCAGAAAATAAAATGCATCATACAAAAGTTAAAAACCATTAAATAATTTAGGCCCAGGACGAATTTAAAACACCCAATTTGTATAAAACTTAAAAACAAATTAAAAAGGGAGAGTCAAGCCAGACCAGCCTGCTGGAATAAATATGTTTTGAGGGCACGGCGGAAAGTGCGTAAATCTGGGATCCTCTGTATCTCCAGTGAGAGCTCATTCCAGATGGCCGGTGCCCCCACAGAGAAGGCTCTCCCCCTGGGGGCCGCCAGTCGACATTGTTTGACCGACGGCACTCTGAGAAGCCCCTCTCTATGGGAGCGTACTGGTCGGTGAGAGGCTACTGGTGACAGAAGGCGGTCTCGTAAGTACCCTGGTCCTAAGCCATGGAGCGCTCTAAAGGTGGTAACCAAAACCTTGAAGCGCACCCAGAAGACCACCGGGAGCCAGTGCAGCTCGCGCAGGAAGGGAATCACATGGGAGCACCACATTGTTCCCATAACCACCTGCACAGCCACATTTTGGACCAGCTGGAGCCTCCGGGTGTTCCTCAAGGGGAGCCCAATGTAGAGAGCATTACAGTAGTAGGCGTGAAGTGACAAGGGCATGAGTGACCATATGTAACGAGTCCCGATCCAGAAAGGGACACAACTGACAAATCAGGTGAACCTGATAAAACGTCCTCCCGGCCACAGCTGTCAAATGCTCTTCTAAAAACAGCCGTGAGTCCAGGAGGACACCCAAGTTGTGAGCCCTATCCGTGGGGGCCAACGACTCGCCCCCAATAGTCAGTGATGGCACCAACTGACTATATCGGGACATTGGAAACCACAGCCACTCGGTCTTGGATGGGTTGAGTCTGAGTCTGTTTCTCCCCATCCAGATCCGCATGGCCTCCAGGCACCGGGACATCACTTCAAGGGCATCATTGGGGTGATCTGGGGTGGAGATGTACAGCTGAGTGTCATCAAGGTACTGGTGGTACTTCACCCCGAAACCACGGATGATCTTGCCCAGCGGCTTCACATAAATGTTGAACAGAAGGGGCGAGAGGACACCTTGTGGCACCCCACATATGAGGGGCCTCGGGGTCGACCTCTGCCCCCCTGTCAACACAGACTGCAACCGGTCGGAGAGAAAGGAGGAGAACCACCGCAACATGGTGCCTCCCATCCCCAACCCTTCCAACCGGTGCAGCATGATACCATGGTCGATGGTATCAAAAGCTGCTGAGAGGTCTAACAGGACCAGGACAGAGGAGCAACCCCTGTCCCTCCAGAGATCATCAACCAATGCGAGCAATGCCGTCTCCGTGCTGTACCCAGGCCTGAAGCCTGACTGGAACGGATCTAGATAAGCCGATTCATCCAGGTACTGAGGCAGCTGTCATGCAACCATACTCTCAACAACCTTCACAACAAAGCAAAGGTTGGAGACTGGACAATAATTTGCCAAAACTGCCGGGTCCAGGGAAGGCTTCTTGAGGAGAGACCTCTTTCAAGGCGGCAGGGAAGACACCCTCACTCAAAGAAGCATTTATAATCCCCTGGAGCCAGCCTCGTGTAACCTCCCAAGAGGCCAGCACCAACCAGGAGGGACACGGGTCCAATAAACATGTGGCCGCACTCAGTGTACCCAGTATCCTGTCCACGCCTTCGGGAGTCACAGGATCAAACT